TATGTCATCCGTTATTTAATTCCATGAGTAAAGGTATACGATTACCTTTAATACGAGACAACGCCGGCACGCAAGAATTAACAAAAAATCAAATATAAATCTGCTTAGAAGTAACTCTCTCTCTCTCTCTGCCTCTCTCTCTCTCTCTCTCTCTTCCTCTGCTCTCGTCTCTGTCCTTCTCTCTCTCTCTCTTTCCTCTTCTCTCTCTCTCTCTGCCTCCGGTGTCGTCCCCTCTCTCATCTCTCTCTCTTCTCTCTCTTCTCTCTCTCTTCTTCTCTCTCTCTCTCTTCTTCACTCTCCTCGTCTCTCCTCTCTCTTTCTTCATCATCTTCTCTCTCTCTCATCTCTCTCTTCGCTTCTCTCTCTCAATCTCTCTCTTCCCCCCCGCCCCTCTCTCATCTCTCTCCTTCTATCCTCTCATTCTCTCTCTCTCTCTCTCTCTATCTCTGTATCCTTCGTCTCGTTCCCGCTCTCTACTATATCTAGATCCTGTTTATTTCTATGCCTCTCTTCCGCCTCTCCTCTTCTCTCTCTCTCTCACACTACACACACTTCACACACACACCCACACACCAAACACACAACAAACACAACACACCCACACACAAACACTACACACACACACACAACACACACACACACACATGACACACAATCGTGGCTGGCAGAATCTATTACAGTACTGCAGCTTACCCCCGACTACGCAGGTAAACACACCATTACAAAACCATTAAAATCATGAAGTAGATATAGTGATCCTTATTTATCTACTTCTGAAATATAAATGCAATAATATCAAAATAGTAATCGCTGCTCATGTCTATGATCAACAGTCGTCATATTAGGAGTTAATGACCAGCCATATTTAAAGTTGAGGTCATTTACGTCCCTTTTATAGTCATTAATTCATCCATTAAAACGACTCAAGTCTCAAATCGTGACACACTTGCTACCGCGCATGCGCACGAATGTTTTGGACTGCATCGCAATACATAAATTAGCAGTAATGGCGGCGGTTAGCAATAACGACACGTTAGAAATAATTATCGTTCATTGCCGATAAAACATGACTAACGCCGTGAAATTATTATCCCTTATCTACCCAATTAGCGCAGTTTTACCGTGATAAACATTGGTATATTTCTGAGTCCTATGGCCTAACCATAGGCGCGGTCTCTAAACGCCATAATTGACGTGAAAGCACGTTGTAGTGTATAATAAGCAAACATTGTTCCTATACATTATGTAAATATGTATATGTATATTTATGTTATATATATGTCATTATTATATATATATATATTATGTATAGGAACAATCTTTGCTTCCCGTTGCGCGTCTGTGCCGTGGAGGCATAGGATATGATATGTGGCGATGGCTAATAGTAAATTTTCAATATATATATATATATATATATATATATATATATATATATTATTAATTATTATATTAATATAGTATTATTCATATGTCTATTATTATTTCTAATCATCTATATTATTATTCTATTTTAATTGGCGATTATGCCAAAAACTGTAAAATGAATGTATTAATCACATGGGTTATGACACTATATCTTACGTAAAACAACACCACGTGTCATGAACACTTAATATATAATATAGCTCTAAATACAGGCTGGCCGGAGCTCACTAATAAGTCAAAATACGTACCAAACCAGTATCAGTACCGCGAAGCTGAAATTAAAAATGATAACATAATGTATGTATTACGATGTTATTACTAATACCCAATACTACTTACATTAATAATCATACATCAAGCATCAATAAGCTGAAACCACAGCCAACTAGCGCCATCTTACGAACCGAACCCTAATTAATGTTCTTGTGTTTCTCTCTCCTTCCCTCTCTCTCTCGCGTAGGTGGTGGCGCCTAACGTGCTGTGTGGCTGGCTGGCGGGCAGAGAGTCGGAGTTCATGGAGACACTCACAGAGGACGAGGTCCTGGAGACGTGCTGGGCTCTACTCAAGCGATTCCTCACCAACCCGGACGTACCGCGGCCGATCTCCTGCAAACGGTAGGTCACGCTGACGTCACTACCACAGGTCACGCGGCGACGTTACGAGCCTAGTTCACGGTGACGTCACGACCACAGGTCTCGCTGACGTCACGAGCCTAGGTCATGGTGACGTTACGACCCTCGGTCACAATGACGTCACGACCCTGGGTCACAGTTTAGGTCAAAAGGCTGCATGAATTCCATGTTACGGGAATCAAAGTGCGTGCTTACGTGCGTGCGTGCGTGCGTGCGTGCGTGTGTGTACGTGCGTGTGTGTGCGCGCGTGCGTGCGTGCTGCGTGCGTGCGTGCGTGTGTGTACGTGCGTGTGTGTGCGCGCGTGCGTGCGTGCTGCGTGCGTGCGTGCGTGCGTGTGTGCGTGTGTGCGTGCGTGCTTACGTGCGTGCGTGCGTGCGTGTGTGCGCGCGTGTGTGGTGTGTTCGTGTACGTATGGGCGTGCATGCGTGTGTAGTGTGCTCGTGTAGGCCTACTTATAGTCGTGCGTGCGTGCGTATGTGTGTGAGCTGTGCACTGTTTATTAGTGGTATCATGCAACGCAGTACTATTATTAAACTAAGCGCCTAACACAACGTAAACTAACAAGAAATCTTAGGTACTTTCTTCCCCCTTCCCGCACTGCGCGCGTGCTGACGTCATCACGATTTCGCGCGCTGGGGAAAAAAGCGGGAAATATCGGGTGTCACTGTAATTAACGCGTGCCGGACGCCTCTCGTCCGTCAGTTGAAGGAAATTTATACCCGAACTAGGAAATTTTACACGAATACTAGAGATTTCGCACGGAGACTAGGATATTGATAGAATGATATGGTATGGAGATTGATGGATGGTTTTGATGACACCGCCTGTGAGAGAGTGATTGTATAGATGTGTGTGTGTGTGTGTGTGTGTGTGTGTGTGTGTGTGTGTGTGTGTGTGTGTGTGTGTGTGTGTGTGTGTTTCCTTCTCACGCAACCGACATGGCATGATGGATCGATNCGAGCTACGCGGTAAACACACCATTACAACCATATAAATCAGAAGTAGATAATAGGGATCCTTATTATCTACTTCTGATATAAATGCATAATATAATAGTATCGCCTTGTATGTCTATGATAACAGTCGTCATATTAGGAGTTAATGACAGCATATTAAGTTGCGGTCATTTCCGTTGCTTTTTAGTTCATTAATTCACCATAACGACTCAGTCTCAACGTGACACACATGTACGCGCATGCGCACGAGTGTTTTGGATGTGGCAATAATAAATAGAGTAATGGCGGGTAGAAATAACGCACGTAGAAATAATTATCTTCATTGCGATAAAAATGACTTAACCGCGGTGAAATTATATCCCTTTCTACCCAATTAGCGCAGTTTACCGTGATAAACATTGTTATTTCTGAGTACTATGGCCAACCATAGGCGGCGTCTCTAAACGCCTAAATTGAGTGAAAGGCACGTGTAGTGTATAATAAGCAAACATTGTTCCTATACATTATGTAAATATGTATATGTATATGTATGTATATATATGTCATGTATATATATATATATATATTATGTATAGGAACAATCTTTGCTTCCGCGTTGCGCGTCTGTGCCGTGAGGCTAGGATATGATATGTGGCGAGGCT